TTCAATAGAACGGGCCCTCCCTCTGGATGGGTCCCTGGCCTCCAGCCTGCTGGGCTTGGGCAGGAGTCAGTGTTACCCACTAACAGGGAAGAGTTTGGGGATGGGGAAGGGAGAAATCAAACCTATGCCAAGTATGCCAAGTATCTCCAGAAGGATCCAGAGGTGTGGGCCTGTGCCCATCCCACTGCCCTGTGTTTCTCATTTCTCACCTCTTGGAGGAGAAGTCAGGATCCTGCAGAGATCTCCCTGCCCCACGTGGGTTTTCCCTTTGTCTTCCCAGTTCCTTGCCCCAGAGCAGCCCCCGGTGTCCCAGCCCCTCGCCAGCCCCGGTGTCGCACTCAGCCCAAACCCTTTTCCTGTGACCCACTCAGTAACCAGGTTGTTTTTCTGTCAGGCTCTGATGTGGCCAGAGGGATTTTTTCCCCCCTTTCCCTCTTAATTTGCAACAGCCATTGCTCCAGCAGCCTCCTCTGCGGGTGCCTGAGGCAGCTCTCCCGGGCGGCGCCTGTGCTCCTCTCAACGAGCTCTTAATGAGTTTGCAATTAGTTATCGGCAGAGCCCATGTGCCCCGGGCTGGGGGTGCGAGCGGGATGTAGAGCTGGTGGGAACATCCCTTTCCAGGGACCGGGTGGGCTCTGCCAGCCCCAATACCTGCTGAGGTGCTGGGCCTAGGATGTGGCATGAAGTCCTCCCAGGATTGTTCCGTGGTGTTGGGGATACAGCCAGGGAGGTTTGGGAAGAGGAGCGGCAGGTAAATGGAGTGCTGCCTATAAATCCCTGCCAGGGGACAAGGAAGAGGTGGGTGGATTATCCTCCTCACTCAATGAGATAAACGGTTCTGAAGCTTAAACACAGAACAATTTTAGTCTGAATAGTAGGAGAAATGGTTCAGGATGTGGAGATGACGGCAGGAACCGCCTGCGGTAAGCGGCGAGTTCCAGTGCCACGTGGCAGCAGCTTTGCTGCCCCTTTGCCATTCCCAGGATCTTCAGCCACGGAGACCTTTGTCAGGACTCAGCCAGGATGTGCATCCTTTCTGCCCACTAGGGAAAGCTTCTTCAAGAGCGCACAAAACAGCTGAGCTGGGAGAGGGTGCGTTAGGCGTGGTGCTGACTCCTCTGTTGCGGTGTTTTGGGGCAGGAGAGGATCTGGATTGCCAGAAGGCTCTGTTTCGGCTCTGGTACGACCCAACCTGGCACACAGCTGGTGGGCAGTCACGCTGGCCTGGTTGGACTGGGCTGGGTGCAGAAGGCAGCCAAGGATATGGGACCTCGCCCCTGGCCGTGCCAGGCTGGTGGCATCTCTTGCCACATCAGTACCATCATCGCGCCGTGTCCCGCTATTCCCTCATCCCTGCTGTCCCCATGAGCGTGCAGAGCTGGAAGGGAGCCCTGGCCCTGCCGCTGCCGCCCTGCTTCGCTGCTCACATCAAACCCAACATGCTTCAAAAGCCTTTCAATTTTTAATGAAAACTCCTGCGTTTACGCTTTCCTTGGCCTCGGCGTGTTGGTATTTTGGTCACTGCTGCTGTTTGGTTTCTCCCGGGATTGGCGATGGCTCCGTGTTCCCGTTAGCCGTGGCAGAGCGGGGGATGTCGCTCGGAGCTGGTGGCACTGCGGCAGGATCCCGCAGCTTCCCATCCCTGACAGCACATCCCTGTGCCAGCTGTGCACCCACATCGCAGCAGAGGACCTGGCTTGGTGGGATCCCTGTTTCTTATGGATGTTCCCTGATGGATGATCGGGAAGGAGACATCTGGAAACCCCAGGGTGACCCAAGGGATAAAACAAACAGCCCTTGACTTGGAGAGCACTTCCAGCAGCTGTCAGTCCTTTCCCTCCTCTCTCCTGTCCGACCAGTAGGCTTCTTCCTCAAATCCAACTTTCCCAACTTGAATAACTGCATTTCAACGCCAGTTAATTAAGAGACATGGCGAACGCGATTGTAAATCCAAGCGTAGACGGAATTCTTCTTACAGGATGCTGGGGGCTGTTTCCAGTCCTGCCTCCAGTGAGCTGCTGTGCTGATCCACCTCCACCTCCAGCACCCAGACGCTGCGATGGTGCTCCTCTGCCAGGAGGCCAATGAAACACTATGGAGATGAGCTGCTTTGGAGATCTTATGAGTCAAACTGTTACATTTTTGGAACATCATGATGTTGAAGTTCCTTTTCTATTTTTTCCCCAACTTCCCAGGGAAAAAAATATAACTATAATAAGTGAAGAAGCTGAGCTTTGCTTTGGGATGACAGGGAGCATGGTGGGGGGAAATAAGGAGGGAGAAGTTGGAGATCAGGCTCAGCCTTGTTGGGAAAAGGTTGGGAGGATCCTTGCATGCGATCCTACCCTGGGGCGCTGCGGGTGCTTCGTGGGGTGTCTGGCACCATTCAGGGTGGCAGTCACAGCCCCTGCTCAACCCATGGGCACCACCTGGGCTCTCCTACACATCCATCCTGGGGCACAGGCACTCCATGGCTGCAGCTGTGGGCTTGGTGCCTGCGAGACAGCTGTAGCCGCCGAGCGTCCATGCCACATCCCCCTGCATCCATGGTATGTTGGGCCTGAGGAATGTTGGTGCTGTTGTCCGTGTGCTGCTGGCTGGGCCACCCTCTGCTCCACTCCTCTGAGGCCTGCGGTGCTGTGTCCACTTGTGGAGTCCTCAGCACAAGAAGGATGTGGATCTTGCATGCAGCCTCGGCTCTGGAGGGGCCTTCGGTGTGGAGGGGACAGGGCTGGCTCCTGGGGTCACCACCAAGCACCGTGGCAGCCGCAAGGGGCCTCAGCCTCTGACCTGCACGGTGACTGTGAACACACCAGGGCTGAGGAGATGTGTGTGTGTCCATGTCTGTGTGTGTGTCCATGTCCCTGTCCTCCTGTCTCTGCCATGCCCCAAGCCCTGCCTTTTCCCCGGACATCTCCTCACGCCGGAGGCACTGACCGGCACAGCTGCAGCCCCTGTGGGATGGGATGGGAGAGGGTGTGGTGGCTTTGCAGCCCCACCAAAAGCGGTGACACACTTCTGCCTTGCAGCGCAACCATGAGTGCGGGTTCGATTGAGCAGGAGCCGTCGCGCAAGCTGGCGTGCTGCGGGGTGCCCCTCATCACCGAGGACATGCAGTCCCTGGCCATCCGCACCCTCTCGGGCACCGACATCAGCAAGCACTACGACCTCATCCGTGAGCTGGGCAAGGGCACCTACGGCAAGGTGGACCTGGTGTCCCACAAAAGCACAGGTGAGGGAGGGGTGCAGGGGGTGTGCAGGGAGCAGGATGCCCAGCATGTCCCAACCCTGCTCTGGGCTCACCCTCATCCCCTGCCCTCCACAGGCACCAAGATGGCCCTCAAGTTTGTCAACAAGAGCAAGACGAAGCTGAAGAACTTCCTGCGTGAGTTCAGCATCACCAACACGCTCTCCTCCAGCCCCTTCATCATCAAGGTCTTCGACGTGGTCTTCGAGACTGAGGACTGCTACGTCTTTGCTCAGGAGTATGCGCCTGGCGGGGACCTCTTTGACATCATCCCGCCACAGGTGGGACCCCCCACCCCTCCATGGGAGCCTCTGGGACATGCGGCTCAGGATCTCCAAGGGTGCTGAGCAAAGCTGCCGCTTTGGTGGCCTGGTGGGAGGGGACTGTGTGTGTGGGGAGAGGACTTCCCTGTATGGGTCCTCCTCCACCACAAGCACTTACAGGTGCAAGTTTGGGGCCCATCCCCTAACCTCTGGGTGGCTGACAACCATCACCAATCCCTGTCCTGGGGTGACCTGAGGCCATCACCTATCCTTGGGGTGGACTGAGACCCATCACTCTTCCTCTGGGGAAGTTGTGCCTGTCCCATCCCTGGAAGTATTCACGGTCAGGTTAGATGGGGCTCGGAGCAACCTGAGCTAGTAGAAGGTGTCCCTGCTCATGGCCAGGGAGGGGTGGAATGAGATGAGCTCTAAGGTCCCTCCTGACCCAAACCATTCCATGATTCTATGATTCTCTGGGGAGCCTGAGACCCACCACCCATCCCTTGGGTGGGCCAGTACCCTCCACCCATCTCACTGCTGCAGATAGAAGCATCCATGGCGATGCTGGATGCGTAACGCC